GGTGTCCGCTTAATAGAGGTTAGTAAAAATAGCGCAATGTTTGTTATCGGTTAACATTCAACGGTTACTCTGTACCGTGATAAAGTTCCATGTTGTTAAGGAAACTAAGGAAGCTGTGCCGTACTTTGTGCAAGACTTTTAGGTTAACTCTGATCGCGGATGACAATCATAAGGCCGGATATCGGTCTTCTGACAGCTAAATGTATTGATTTATCTTTATTAACCGACTACAGTACGTATTTCAAGGAACTGTCAATTCAATCCGGTGTCCGCTTAATAGAGGTTTTAAACAATAGAAATTAGCGAAATACAATTTATTTTAGTGTCCGGGTCCGCTTAATAGAGGTGTCAGCTGAATAGGGGTTCGTTATAAAGGGAAATATAAGATGTTCATTTCAGGACCCGGCTTAGTGTCCGCTTAATAGAGGGTGTCCCCTTAATTAGGGGTCTGCTTCATAAAGGTTTCACTGTATTCACTTGTCAGGATTTGAGGACGTTTTTTGTTGCTCAGACTTTTTAAGGGAACAAGGTATATACAAAATGGCCCATCCTATTACAATATTCACACTTCAAACAAAGAGGGCTTGAAGAACGTGCCTTTTCGCCACAGCTGTTTTCTCCCACAGGAGTCTCCTTGAACACTTTTGCAACTATGTCCAAGACCATCACCCAAATGCGCATAAACAACCTGATCAAGTAGTACTTGTTATTCAGGCTCGATACTTTTTGCTTTTTGATAGTGAACGTGCTGTATATAAGCGCTCGACTAAGTGCTGCGGTGATAAGTCAATAACAACCTTTACCGATAGCCTGAATTTCATCTGATTACTTCGAGTCGTTATTACTCCCTCAATAACGTCTGAATCGACCAGCCGTTAATGCCATCCAGTGACGTCACTAATCCTTTGCTTTAATTCATGCAAAAAGTTAAACACGATTTTCAAGTGGAAAACCAAGAAATATCGTTTGGAAATGTCTGCATGATACAGAGTGACTTTACTTTTTTCGATCGTAATTCATGTTTAAGGTTCAAACTATCAACTGCATGCAGTATTCTGAACCGGTTGTAATAGGCCACTTCCGAGTTCCAAAAACCCTCACTTTCAAAATGAGGCCAAGTGCACAACCTTTCTTGTGAAAATGACTTTTATTTGCACGAGAATGAAAAATCATTTCCATATCAAAGGCGCACCAATTACTGATTACGAGTCTTCATAGCCAATAACATCACGGCCTAACTGACAGACGAGCAATAACATCGCGACGTAATTTATGAAATCAGATCAATAACTAGAGTATAATACCATCAACTGACGTGATACAACTCACTTTCACTCTGAAGATGACTACCGCAGAGGTTGTCGAAACGTCAGTCACTGTTAACAACAGTCCTATTCAGGACTACGTTCACCCGGACGATCAAACTCAACCTACTTTTGAAATGACTCCTGGGTTCAAACCTTCCACAGAATCATTACACTTGACTTTGAAAATAGCTTGAAGGTCGTTTTACAACACTGGTCTCAGAAACTTCGTATAAACAAAATCACTGACGAAACCACAAAGTGGCTCTAAATGAAAAACCTACCGACTCTGCGCAATGATTCTTCATTCGCTGTTCAATTTAGCATTTCAGTTTAGAAGACGAGGGCAAATTTACTGTTTACGATAAAGATTATCGAAATGTTTGAACTCCACGCAAGCATACCAGGGATGTGATCCGCTGAATATCAAGCGACAATCCCGCTAAAATTTCTCTTAATTATGCATAATTAAGCGAATGTTTAGACAATCAACCAATCAAAATCACTACCCGGTTTTCGGGTAGTGATGGCGTCACTGGACGGCATTAACGACCGGTCGATTCAGACGTTGCTAAGGGGAGAAAACGACTCGAAGCAATTGGATGAAATTCAGGCTACCTTTACCGACTGCTTCAACTGTTTACTCACCGAACGCAGTCCGTAAATTGAACAGAGAGTGTTTATTTCTCTCTTTAAAGCGTCAAGTAAACAGTAATCCAACAACATGCAGTTACATACCAAAGGATCATGAGAAAAGGAGCTAGTTCTCTCTCCACTGTCAGCCACTGGCTTAAAGTGCTAACAACGGTCACTTGCCATAAATTTTCACCAACCGATTACCGATTGCCTGCGACGTTCTTTCTTGCTATAGACTAGATGCCTATGTCTCCTCGCTTCAACCCTTTGTAAACATCCAACGACCACTAGAGCCGAAGCAATTAATACAAACAACAACGCTCTTAACATCGGCGTTAAGTCTCGCTTGCTTAGAGATTAGAAAAGAAATTAGGAGGCGACTCATTCTAGACGATTCATGATTTACTTGCTAAAGGTTTTTCACTTCCTACTTTATCGACGGTCGAGTATTCTTCAGGACATTTACTTTTTATATCGTATTCGACGATTTGTTTCTGAATTGATTTAGGGACGGACCATTTAATTTTTGTCGGGGTGGAAAGGGGGGGGGGGATTTCTTCTGAGTATGAATTTTTTTTTTCAGCATTACTATTTGCAGGAATTTTTTTTTTCACCAAAATAAGTCTCTGCAGGGATTTTTTTTTTATCATTCAATGTTATTTATGTTAAACCTTGAAGAAGCCCGAAAAAGTGCCTGATCCCCTTTTAACTTGTGGATTACGCGTAGCGTAAGGAACGAGTTATTGTGGACACCGCGATATGCAAGAGTGTCATTCGGATGTAGACACCTTTCGTAATTACTCGGATCGAACGAAAATTTCCCGATGTCAAAACAACAATTGTCGTAGATCGATCGTTCCCGTTCCGCGATCAAGAAGTGCTAAGCGTGCATTGCGCCCAGAGCTTCTGACGTTATGATTTTGTACCTTTCACAGGACGATAAGCTGTCTTCATGTGGAATTTTGATATGTAAAAATAAATGTTTCTTTGTTGAATCAAAACAGAAATGTTTACTGTTGCTCAATTAATCGTAATTGATAATTCTCCTCATGTAAATGCAGAGAATTGCAAGCTATACAATGCCGTCAGCAAGAGAGTTCACGACGGTTTTCAGAGGCCCCTAACGTATACTTTCGGAAAATATCTGTTCGGAAGACGATTTGAGGTCTAGAATTTTCGGAACATTTGTTTTAAAATTTCTTGCCTGCTTGCCTCTCCTAGGATTTTCGAACATCTAAAAAATGGTATAATTGCCCATTTTAACGGATTTTACGCTAAAAAGGTCACGTAGAATTTTTGGGAGCCTTTTCAGTCTTGCTGAAATTTTCAAAAAGGTAAGTTTTCATCCCTATAATTTTCGGATCACTAGACTTTCAGCTAGGAAATCTGAACAGATGAATAGAGAGAATATGCCTATATCTGCCATTAAAACACTAAAATACGTTTAACAATGGTACGTTTAAGTGGTTTTGAACTATATTATCGTTGGGTGCCCCTGGGTTTTGCGAGACATTTAAAATCGCTCATTGTCGGACATGTGTTCTTCAATTAATTGCGACGAAATGAGTTAAAGTGCAGCTTTTACCGTCAAAACCCTGCTTATTGTTCTCGAATATATCTCTTAATTCTTCATAAATAAAGCTCTACCAGCTTCAAAGGGTTTTAATTTTCTCCAGAGTGCCTTCTGGAATTGAATAACTAAGCGATTTTTTTAGTCCGTGAATGTGATGTTTTTCTGCAATGTTGTATCACGCTGGGCTCAGCTCATTAGCTTTCTTTGTAGAATGTTCAATTAAATGATCACTGATAGTAATTTACAGATCCAAAATTGTAAGAATGAAGTGCAGCTTAAACTGAAGCTACATCAACTTTGGAGAACTGCATTGACTCAGCAAACTCCAGCTTAGTGTTTTTCTAAAGGGTAGTGTGAGTCTTTTGAATAAGCTTAACAGTCTTTGGACTGTTTTGTTATTGCCACTTTGTAATCAGGCAAGACCATGGTTTCGGTTCTCCATACGAACCACGTCAGTCGCCGGGTTGGCTTTGTGCTTAGTTGCTTTTACAAGAGCAACTTTAATTTAGTTGTTCTCTTCTCGTGGCGAGAACGGTACAGCCGTTTTTTCTACTAAGCTTTGACCTTGACATTAATACCCGCGTGGCGGATCGAAATTCTTGTTTTCCTACTGGCTACTGAACGTAACCAAATACGGAGTGTGAATTTCGATCCTCTTCTGCTTGAAACTAGAGGTGTGTTTTTTTTGGAAAGCATTTCGTGAAATTTTAGCACTTTTTTTTCTGGGAGAGTTCGAAGACTCTTCTCTGCGCGCACAGAGTTTCCGTACACTCCCTCTATAAACTGGAGTGGATATATGCGTTCCTTCTTAGGTGCGCAATGTTGAGCTTTCTGTAGCACAAGTTGTCGTGGCGCAATAGGCGAATCTTTCGTGACGTCAATGTTTACATTTGCCCGCAACGATTGCTGGGATTGTGTGGCAAGAAGCAGTCTTTAAGCTCTCTGTCACTGCTTCTTGAACGTCAACATTGATCGACTTCTCTTGACTAAACAATGGTACATTCCTGTTGTGTTATAAACTGTACAGCAAGGTGGAGTGGCGACAAAGGTTTCTTTCGTTTACCGTCGGAAAACGACAAAGAAAGACGAAAAAAGTGGCTCAGAAATATACGGCGAGCAGATCCAGAGGACCCTCGGAAGCCATGGATCCCCTGCAACACTGATCGAGTTTGCAAAAATCATTTCGTTACTGGTAAGCTTATCTGTGTTAAATGAGAACGTTTTGATTTGAATTCCTATGTATTTTGATTTTCTTATTCTTAGCGTTTTTGTGTAATCAACCTTCAGTTTTCAACTGTATTTTTGTGAAGGTGCGCCCAGTAAGGATCCACGACATCCTGATTATACCCCGAATTTGAATATGGGTTACACATCAACAGAGAAACTGGAAGACAAATTTAAAAAAAATAAAACGTTTAGAAAGATTCCAAAACAGACAATCTCTTAATACAGCTTCAAATTCTCTTCCTTCTTCTACTGCTGAGCCAATGGATGTTGAAAGCCCCTTTGAAGAAGTCAGCTGCCAACAGGTAAGTTTAAATCAATTTCCTTTTGCTTCGTTTACTGTGGACATAGTTATTAGAGGAGACTGGTTATGAAAAGCGGCAAACATCAATGATAAAAACAACAGTGCTTCAGTTTATGTTCAAAGCACCGTGAAAGTGCACAATCCTTTGTTTTCTGTTGGCAAATTGTTACGGAATAAATTAATGCAACGTTTTTATTGGTCAATACAATCAAAATTCTTTTGAACGTTGTGCACTTTCAGGTCCACAAAAACATATAACAAAGGAGTCTGACGGGTTTCATAACCATTCCACTCAATTAACTATGCTGTGGACAAGAATTTCTCGTGCATTACGTGTGAGCGTATGATTTGACCTTTCATTTGCTTTTATCATAGTAATTGTTATCTTTTTATTTCCATGGCCGAGTTGTTCAAAGCTGGGTTAAGATAACCCAGGGTTAGTGAGAGATTTGAGTTCAGATTTGAAAGCTTAAAAAGCATTTCAGTTTCAGTTCTTTTTTGTCTACAAGTTGATGACTGGAAGCTCTAAAAATAGCAGAGAAAATTATCCGAGAAAATGCTTTTGGACCCAAGAAAAAGAAACCCGGGTTAAATTTAACCACGGGTTAAGCGCTAATCGGCTTTCGAACAACTGGGCCCATATGATTACTTTTTAGGCTGTGAAAATAACTGAACCCCCCGTAGATGTCCAAGAAGAAGCATATGCTTCCCCTCTTGACAGTGGAGATGGAAGAAATGAACTGTTAAAGAGGCAAGCTATATACTTTAACCAGAATTGTGTACAGCTCATCAAGGAGAAGAAAGAGATTGAGGAAGAACTACAAAAAGCTTCATTCACAGTCATGAATCTCAGTAAAAAGCAACTTAAATTTTACACAGGTATGAATTGTCTTTTTCTCTGACTCTTATTCAGAGTTACTAAAGCTTTAAACGAATATGATGTGCTGTATTCAAGAGATTACTGACAAAAATCTGTGTGCATGGTGTTTCAAACCTGAAAATGTGGAAATAATGTCAGTGGCTACTGGCATGGGAAGGCACCTATTGCAGTGTTGCAAAATATAAAATTATTTTTTTAAATTTACTTACCCCTAACAATTTGTCTAGGAAATTCTAAGAAGTGAACCATGCAATAGAAACCTATAGATATTCCTGTCACAAAATGCGATGGAAACAAAATATGTTTTAAAAAGTGTGCATATATCTCAAGGTTGTGTTTATTATTATTTTTTAATATTGGAGATGCTGTAAAAACTGTTCCATTCACTACTAAACCAGATTTTTTGTTGAACTGAAAGTACCTTAAGCTGTAAAAAAGACACTGGCTATCCATAAACTAGCGCCTGCGTAGAAGAAAAATACGTTTTGAGCCGTTTTATACTAAAAGATATGTCAAGATTGTGGAGCAAGAGTCCCAAGCTGTTCTATTTAATTAGCAAGTAATATTAATTTCCAGGAGTTAGAAGCTGGTCAATATTTCACTGGATTGTGAGGATTGTGTCAGGGGGTTATCAGTTTCCAACCGTTTGTAAGAAGTTAAAACCCGATGACAAGGTGTTGATGATCTTGATGAAACTACGTCTTGGCTTGCAAAACAAAGATTTGGCTTATAGGTAAGTTAATTACCCCTATAATGAAGCTTCATAACATGGTGACAGTGCTCAGTGCTTTGGAAAGGGCACTTTCATATTAGAAGGGGGACTTATCAGAGGCTAAGGGCTTAACGGAATGTATGCAAAAAGCCAGTCCATGAGTATTAAAAATTGAACATGCTTGAAAGTGGATGCCCTTTTTTTGGAACTTGTGGAGGACTCTGTTTATACAATCTCCTAATAATTCAAAACAAAACTGACGTTCTTCTCCTTTCCAATTAAACACTGTAATATTTTTTACCCCTGATATATTGAACCTCCTCAAAATAGAAACCAATTTCCTTTTCTCCAGGAGGTTCTAAACATCAGGATTTACTGTATTCTAGACTGAAAGAAAGGTTGGGATTGTACATCTGTTCAACAGGTTTGGTGTAACAGAAGACCAAGTGAACAAGATTATTAAAAAAGGAGTTAAAGTGATGGCAAAAGCCTTGAGGTTTTTAATAGTGTGGCCTGACAAAGAGGCCACCATTAGCAATATGCCCAAGGTCTTTAAACGTTCCATATCTTATCAGAAGACCAGAGTCATTATTGATTGTTCAGAGATTTTTATCAAGCGGCCCACAAATTTACTGGCCAGAAATATCACTTATTCCAATTACAAGCACC